GTCGGCCCCGAGCTGCTCCCGCCGGCCCACAGGGACCGGCCCGTCCTGGCGCATGGGCAGGCTTCCACGCGAAGGCCCGAGGACGAGGACCCGCTCTTCGCGAAGGGCAGTATCCGGGGCCTGGGCGCGGCTCGCCCGTCCGGTGTCCTCGGACGGACGCGGGGCTCAGCGGCTTCCCTCCCTGGCCGACCCCGAACATTCAGCACCTACCGTCTGTCAGCAGATTGTCAGTGCTGGGGCTCGGGGGCCCTGTTAGGGGACCTTTTCCGGACGCAGTTGAGAAGTACTCAGCAGGGAACCGGCAGGGCGGGCATGGCCGGCGCCTCTTGACCCACGGCAGCTTTTCTTTGTTTTATGCCCCAGACTGAACCGGGAGTTAGTTTATATCCATGCCACCTGCACACCCTTGCCGAGCACACACGTGCGCACACACACCTCACTATGTAGTCATGTTCTCCCTGTCTGATACTTTTGAATGCTGGGATTACAAATTTGCACCAACCCTGGGCAGTGGTGGCGCACACCTTTAATCCCAGCACTCAGAAGGCAGAGGCAGGCTGATCTCTGAGTTCAAGGCCAGCCTGGGCTCCAAAGGGAGTTCCAAGACAGCCCGGGCTACACAGAGAAACCCTGTCTCCAAAACAAAACAGAAAAAAACCAAGTGTAGACTACCGTGCTGCCTGGGTCTCAGGTGCTTGATCACTGTTTCACAAAGCAAAGGACGTGGTATTTGGCCAGAGAAACTTATTTTTATGTTCGTGGGCAATAGAGTTATTAATAAATTATGTTGATTTGGTGTCTTCCTAAGTAGTCAAGTATGACACGTTTGTCTTAATTCATTTGCTGTTGGAAATTTCACCCTGCCTCAAATTTGGCTTGCTTTATCCATGTCTAAAGAGAAAAAGGATTGTGTCATTGTATTCAGGTGAGGAAGTAACACAAAATGTGAGTGTTTATTCCAAATAATGTGTTGCTTTGTTTTTAGACTGTGGAGTAGCACCGCTTAGGGGTGCATTGGAAGGGTCTCGGATCATAGGAGGCACACAAGCTGCTGTTGGCGCGTGGCCGTGGCTAGTTAGCCTGCAGATTCAAGATGGCGATTTACTTGTGCATGTATGTGGTGGTGCCTTAGTGAGAGACAGGTGGGTCCTCACGGCTGCCCACTGCACTAAAGAGTCTAGGTATGTATTCACACCATGCCTCCCATTTTCTTCCCATAGGGAATAGTTTGGAATGGTAGAGTATCATGGGACTTTAGCTAAGCATTATGTCTACAAGTAGTTATAAATAATTCCATATATATATATATATATATATATATATATATATATATATGACACTGCATTTGTTGAGACGAATTCTTTAAATCACACGGTGGCAACGTTTTCTGTGGATACTTCATAGGGTTTGCAGGCCATATAGTTTGTTACATTACTTAGTATGAAAGTAACCATACATAAGTGGAGAATACGTAATGACTGTTGCTGTGGTCCTGTAAAACCGTACATATAATTATATATTTGTATGCATAAAAACATACTTATTCGTGGGTTGCATAAAAACAAGACAGGTCAGACTTAATCTTTATTATTTGAACTCTGAAAGAGACTCTTGGGTTTCATTTGCATTGAGTCATAACATCCTATTTTCATATGACTTCTGTGACCCAAACGTAATTTCAAAGGCTAACTCCATGCCCAATCCAGTGACTTCTAAGTCACTAACATCCAAGTGACCCTATGGTATAGGACAATTTTGACAGACTTTCCTTAAGAGTGTCTCTCTTCTTTTCCTAAAACACTTTTATGCCTGTAAGTGTTTTGTGTGCATGTATGTTTTTGCACCATACATGTTTTGTTGTGTGTCCCTGGTGTCCAAGGAGGCCAGAGAGGGCATCTGATCCCCTGGAACTGGAATTATAGATGGTTGTGAGCCAGCATGAGGCTGCTGGAAGCAGAACCCAGCCCCCCTGCAAGAGCAGTAACACCCCCAACCCCCTGAGCCATCTCTCTAGCCCAGAGGCATCTCTTCTAAGACACTGGTGAGCTGGAGGTGGGGGAGTGCAATGGTGTTGCTGTTGTATTTTTTTCTGCCCTTTCCCCTCTTTCTACTGAATTAATTCCTCACAACACCAGCTTTTCCGTGATCCTTTACAGCCCTTCATTCTCTATACTAATCTTTCATTTTTAGCTCCTATTGCTAGGTAGCTTTCTCATCAACGTGTATGATGAATTATCTGATTCGCACAGCATAGCTCTTCATTCTAGGTGAAGCAATAGTCCCCCAGTTTACTAATGAGCCATCCTTTGGTCAAGGATCCACCCCGTCTGACAGCTGTGGATAAGGGGTTTGGGGCATGTATTGGATCAGGGCACCTAGAGGACAAAGTGGGCAGGTCATTTTTCCTTGTACAAGCATATAGGTATGTCACATATAATCACCAATATATACTTCTAGCAGAGGGAGAGGGCGGCACCTAAGGCCTTACACATGCCAGGTGAGCACTCCAGTTCTGAGCCACCATCTCCAGCCATGTACGTTACACTGAAAAGAACCTGTGTGGTGGGCGGTATTGTCCATCACAGGGCAGAACCCCAGGGCTTCCTGTGATACTGGCTCTCACTCTGGCAGAAATGACCAATGCAGGTGGAGTTTTCCTGTGCCATGGCCGCCTCCCAAATAACCAACATGGAGACTGTTAGTCACAAATGCTCGGCCGACGGCTCAGGCTTGTTACTAGCTGACGCTTACCCTTAACCCACATTTCTTATCAATGCTGTGCCACGTGGCTTGCTACCTTTCCTTAATACAGCATGCCCATCTTGCTCTCTGTGTCTCCCGGTGCCTCTCTCCTGACTCCACCCTTCCTCATCCCAGCATCCTCAGTTTGATTGTCCTGCCTAACTTTATCCTGCCTTGCTATAGGCCAATCAGCTTCTTTTTTTTTTTTTTTTTTTTTGGTTTTTCGAGACAGGGTTTCTCTGTGTAGCTTTGTGCCTTTCCTGGAGCTCACTTGGTAGCCCAGGCTGGCCTCGAACTCACAGAGATCCGCCTGGCTCTGCCTCCCGAGTGCTGGGATTAAAGGCGTGCGCCACCACCGCCCGGCTAACCAATCAGCTTCTTTATTAACCAAAAAGAGTAATACATATTCACAGTATGCAGAAGGATTATTCCACAGCAGACCGTTATGATTTAGTTTCTCTCATTTCTCATTTATCTAATTATTTTCTTTTATAATTGAGGCATAATTTCATGTCTCTCAGGATGCCTGTGAGTAGACTGAGGTGGGATCCACCCTAACTGAGGGAGGCATTATTCCGTTCTTAAGACTGAATAAAAAGAAGAACGGGAGCTAGGCCACTAGTGTTAGCTCGCTCTGCTTCCGGTGTATCTGAAGTCCCGCCTTCCTGCCATGACGGACTGTGCCCTGGGTCTGTGAGCCAGAATCAGCCCTTCTGCACTATACGGCTTGTGTTGGAGTGTTCTACCCCAGCAGTGAGACACAGTAACTAACAAACATGGTAAAACTCGGTCTCAGAAACAGACAGACCCTTCCTTATGTCAGGCTTCTATTTTCACTTGTTTTCTTTTTGGTTCAGTTTTCTCAATTCTAATGCTAAGACCCAAATGTTTTACTCTAATATATATTTTTCATAATTAGGGTTTTGAGAGAGAGCTCAGTGGTTAAAAGCACTGTCTGCTCTTCCAGAGGACCTGGGTTTGATTCCTAGCACCCACATGGCAGCTCACAACTATTTATAACCCCCAATTTCAGGGAATCTGGTTCCCTCTTCTGGCATTCTTTTTTTTTTTTTTTTCTTTTCTCTTGAGACAGGGTTTCCCTGTGTAGCCCTGGCTGTCCTGGAACTTGCTCTATCCCAGGCTGGCCTTGAACTCAAGAGATCCGCTTGCCTCTGCCTCCTACCCGCCAGCTTCTTCTGGCGTTCTTGGGCATCAGGCACATATGTGGTGCCAAACATATATACAGGAAAACATCCATAACACATAAAATAGAAACAAATAAATCTTTAAAAAATTATAAAAGTAGAGGAAATATTTTTCCATGTCCTTATCACACAGCTTCAGGTTTCAAACTTATACCTCATCCTTTAATGATTTTTATTGGCATGTATTAATTATACATAACTTCATGATGACATTTCATTCATGTATATAATGTATTCACCCCTGTGCCCTCTCCTGCCCCTCCCTCCAGCCCCCACCCCCGTGCCTGGTGTGTGCTGAGCCTGGACTGTGGAGAGCTAAACTCCTTGTCTTCCAGTTATTTGGAGGCAAATCCCACATCTAGCACTTCCCTGTCCCCTGAAGACAGCAACTCATACGAGAGTTCTAAGTTTTTAATACATTTGGGGTTTACTTTGGTGCTTTGTGTTTCAGGGATTTCATTTCCTTTTCTTTCCAAACAGCTAGCTGTCTCAGAACCACATGTCGAGTAATTCAGGCTTCTGTCTGCTAGTGAGGGACACTGGCCTGCAGCCACACGGTCCTCGTGGTCTGGAATCTGAGTTTCTTGTCCTACTCAGCCTCCTCCTCTCTGCTGCATCATGACATTTGGGCTTTTATTTTACACGTCACGTGGAAAAACACTTAAAACTTTGTTGTCAGTCCAATATAAAAAACCCGAAATCTTGTGGAAAATCAAGGAGAAGAGTTTAAGTGAGCCTGTGTGTAATAAGAACGTCTGCTTCCTTGCAGTGATCCTCTCAAGTGGAGAGCAGTGATCGGAATCAATGACCTCTCCCGGCGCCGCTCCCGCATCAAGAATATCCGAGTAGTAGCCATCATCATCCAACCAGACTTCATTCTGGAAACTTTCGTAAATGATATCGCACTGTTCCGTTTAAGGAAACCCGTGAGGTATAATGACTATATTCAGCCTATTTGTCTACCTTTTGGTATTCTCCAAAAACTGGACCAAAACACAACGTGTTTTATAAGTGGCTGGGGAAGAACCAAAGAAGAAGGTAATTATAGTCTGAATTCAACTGATACACACCCTCCTGATTATTGGCAGAGGGAGGGAATCTTTTTACACATTAATATCCTTGTGTATATTTCTTTCAAGCTATTAATTGATTAGTTGATTGATTGTGCTAGGGATCAAATTTAGTGCTTTGCACGTGCTAGGCAAGCAGTCTATTATTAAGTTTTATTCACCCCATTTTATGTATTTATTTATTTTTACCTTTCTACCCAAAAGCTAAAAAGTTGAGTTTATAAACCATGAAAAAGAACACCTTATTTTTTCTTCCTTATGGGAGAGAGAAGTTTCCTTGCATAAGCCGAAGTATATAGGAACCCTGGTTATAAACACCAAAGATACTTGAATTGCGGATATTAGTGACAGTTTCTGCAGCCCAGGACTCAGAGTTGATGAGAGACCTGGGACAGAAATGCACACCTTAAACCTGAAGTTTGGGGCTCCCAGGCCTGACTGTTTGCTTCCTTTTCATGTAATGTCCTATGCAGGATTAGGAAGGAGGCCCTGTCTCTCTCACTAGCTGTTGATCCATAGGCCGGACAGGAAGAACAGAAAAGCTGTCTTTGTAAGAGCGGCAGGCTTCCTGAGTGAGCATGTATGTTCTCGGGTTCCTGCTCCCTCAGTACCCTTTGAAATGCTGCTGCTGCCTTTCTGTCTGGCAGACCAGGAGTGTAAAGTGTACTAGTTCAGTTCCTAATGCTGTGATAAGCCCCACGACCAAAGCAGTGTGGGGAGGAAAGGGTTAATTCAGCTTCCAGGTTCCCATCACAGTCTGTTAATGGAGGGGAGTCAGGCAGACAGCAACCCTGAAAGAAGGCTGCTCACTGGCTTGTGCCCATGGTTTCCTCAGCCTGCTTTCTTGTTTGATTTATTGATTGTTTGAGGCAAGGTCTCTCTACAGAGCCCTAGCTTTCCTGGAACTCTTTATGTAGTTCAGGCTGGCTTTGAACTCACAGAAATCCACCTGCCTCTACCTCCCAAGTGCTGGGATTAAAGGTGTGAACCACCATATCTATTTCAGTTTGCTTTCTTTTTTTTTTTTTTTTTTTGTTTTTTTTTCGAGACAGGGTTTCTCTGTGTAGCTTTGAGCCTTTCCTGGAGCTCACTTGGTAGCCCAGGCTGGCCTGGAACTCACAAGATCCACCTGGCTCTGCCTCCCGAGTGCTGGGATTAAAGGCATTTGCCACCACCGCCCGGCTCAGTTTGCTTTCTTATTCCACTCCGGGCCAGTGCTGAACGGTGGCACCATCCACAGTGGGCAGGCCCTCCCACAACAATCAGTAGTCCAGAAAATACCCACAGTCCTCCCCACAGACCAGTCTGATGCTGGGAGCTCTTTAACTGAGCCTTCTTCTCCCCAGGTGGGTCAGGTCTGTGTACGTTGATGAAACCAACACAGAGCCCACGGGTGTTAAGAACGGAGACTTTACCAACATGGCCTCCATGTGTAATCCCAGGAGTCAGGAGTTCCAGGTCCTCCTCAGCTATATGTGGAATGAACTCAAGGCCAGCCTAGGCTGTAGCTAGAGTTTTCCTGCCTGGCCCACAGTCAGGACAAATCTTTGTCACCCGCCAGTCCCACAGCCGCTCAGACCCAACCAAGTAAACACAGAGACTGATATTGCATACAAACTGTATGGCCGTGGCAGGCTTCTTGCTAACTGTTCTTATAGCTTAAATTAATTCATTTCCATAAATCTACACCTTGCCACATGGCTGGTGGCTTACCGGCATCTTCACATGCTGCTGGTCATGGCGGTGGCTGGCAGTGTCTCTCTCCTCAGCCTTCCACTTCCCAAAATTCTCCTCTCTTTGTCCCACCTACTTCCTGCCTCGCCACTGGCCAATCAGTGTTTTATTTATTGACCAATCAGAGCAATTTGACATACAGACCATCCCACAGCACTAGGCTACATGAAATCATGTCTCAACCAACACCTCCCTGCCCCCATTCTCCCCTACCAGTCCATCCATGCTCCTTAGAAAGCAGCAGCTAGGACTCAAATTGAGGTCTTTGTGATTCTGAAGCCTTATTCAGGCTTTAACTAGCACACTGATCTGTTCTTGAGAGCGTCGTAGACCAGTTTGGAGCATATGAGATCAAGCACTGAGATTTGTTTTCCATTGCTCATGGGCCCAGCAAGTATGGATTTTTTTTTAAATTTTTTTTAATTTTATTTATTTTTTTATTTTTTTATAGACAGGGTCTCATGTAGCCCAGATTGGCCTTGAATTCACACTGTTGTCAAAAATGACTTTGAGGCTGGGTGGTGGTGGCAAATGCCTTTAATCCCAGTAGTTGGAAGACAGAGGCAGTTGGATCTCTGAGAGTTCAAGGCTACCTGGACTACATAGCAAGTTCCAGGACAGCCACATCCTTAGTGAGACCCTATCTCAGAAACAATCACCAAAATAAGATAACCGCAGACCTATACAGATGTGCACCACCATATCTGGTTTTTATTTGTGGTTATTTAGACAGTAAAAAGATAATTTTAGGGAAGACTTTGTAAATTACTGTTTTTCTTGAGCACTGTTGAAGATAAGGAAAGCAACATAGTGTAGGAAAAGAGCAAGCACAGCAGAACCATAGTCCTAAATTCCAGCCTTGCCATGCTCTAACTCAAAGAGCGTGGGCATTGGCCTGTTGGCATACATTTTTAATCCCAGCACTTGAAGGGCAGAAGCATATGGATCTCTGTGAGTTCAAGGTTAGACTGGTCTACTTAGCAAGTCCCAGAATAGCCAGGGCTACATAGAGAGACCCTTTCTCAAAAACAAACAAACAAAATTAACCAAAAAAGAAAATGGTCATCCAAATGAATTGTTGACAGTTATTATAAAGCAATAATATAACAATAGTTGCAGCCAGGCGGTGGTGGCGCACATCTTTAATCCCAGCACTCAGGAAGCAGAAGCAGGCAGATCTCTGAGTTTGAGGCCAGCCTGTTCTATAGAGTAAGTTACACGCACCGTCTATGTACTAACCCAGCAATACTCTGAAATGTACTGTAACATGGTGAAGCTTGAGGAGGTCACATTCACACCCCGAGTCACACAGCTAACTACTCCTTCAGCTAACCAACCCATGCCATTGTCTTCCAGTCAGCTTCAGTCCTACCATGTCCCCTCTATAGTGTATGACCCATCACAGAGCCACATAGCTTCATGATTTGCAAGGCATTAGACAGTTCAGATAAAACTGGTGTACCAACACGGCATACCACAAACACACCTGAGTCTTTCCACTGAGGACCACCCAACAGCAAGGATCCATAGGGCAAGAATGGAGCATACAGGACAGGCGAGATGGCTCCAGTGGGTACAGGTGCATAAGGCTGCCCTCTGACCCCCACCTGCACTGTGGCGTGCACATGCCCCAGCCCACAATAACACAAGGGCTTAGGGACAGAGCATGGAGTGCAAGGGGAGGAGCCGGGCACAGAGGTGTCGCCAATCTGAGAGTGTTTGACCCCTGACAGGCACCGACTCCAGTGGCTTTATGGACCCTGGGGGAAACAAAGAGTCCAGCTGATGGAGGAGAGAGATGCCTGTAAGCTGGAGCCCATGATTCACAACATGGAGTGGCCACAGCCACAGCCCCTTCAGATATGACAAGAAGCTTGGAAGCATCATTACACGCGGTCCTTGGCCTGTGCATGCTCCCCGTAACGCTGTCCTTTGGGCTGTTTTGGCACACCTGTAGTCCACCATGTTGCAGAAGAAAATTTATCCTCAGAGACACTGTAATGACCAGTACTCATCTCATAGCCCTGGAAATTACATGGCTGTGTGAGAGACAATGGGAAAGGCACGTGACAGCAGTAACTTAAAAAAAATCTGGGGCTGAGGAACATGGCCTAGTGGTTAAAGCCCTGGCTGGTCTTTCAGAGGACACAGGTTCAAGTTCCAGCACTCATATGGTGGCTCACAACTGTCTGAAATGCCAGGTCCTGAGGAATCTGATGGCTTCTCTGGCCTCCATGGGCACTGTATGCACACGGTGCACAGACACATATGCAGGCAAAACACCCATACATGTAAAATAGTAATAAAAATAAAATAAAGCTAGAATGGAAGAGCAAGCAGGAATGACTTCATTAATATTATAAAGTAGAGCAGATCAAATAAAATTACCAGAATGCTGAGGAATACTGTATCATAATAAAAGGTTCAATCCACCAGAAGAAGCAGCAACTGTAAATACACAGAACCAAAGAGGGAAGGTTCCTCTACAGTGATACAAAGCCCAAGCCGGCCAGTGCTCAGTCCTCCTAGCTCAGCGTCCCATTGTTGAGGTTACAGCTTGTGCCATAGAACTCAGCAGCAGAGTGCAACCCTGTACTAAAAAACTAAACAAGAGCCAGGCAGTGGTGGCACATGCCTTCATCTCTGTGAGTTCAAGACCAGCCTGGTCTATAGAGTGAGTTTCGGGACAGTCAAGACTACACAGAGAAACCCTGTCTCACAAAACCAAAAACAAGAACCAAAACAGAGAAGTGGAGAAAGACAAACCCCACAGCACTATGCGCACAGAGGCTCACTGCAGTTTTATCTGTGGGGTCAGCGAGATGGCTCAGAGGGCAGTGGTGTCTGCCCTCAGGCCTGGTAGTTGAGTCTGATCCCTGGGATCCACTCAGTGGAGGAGAAGACTGACTCCATATGTAAGCACACGTGTGCACATGCACACACAGGGATGTATTTTGGTTGCATGTAATCTTGGCAGGAGAGGACACAAAGAGCACCCTGTGTGGTCCTCTGCATTATATATAATATGCAACACGCTTTGGCTACAATCAGCCACAACAGTCATTGGGAAATGAGCCGAATGTAATCAAAGAATGATCTGTTTGTATTCCAAACCCTGAAACAGTTAGAAAACCTGCCACGTGGGATGAGGAGGTGACATTTCTTCAGAACTGTGTATGATGACTACCACTCCCTGAATTTGCAGTCTGAATCACACCAGGACTTCTAAGACAT